ACCTCTATCCCTTCCCCCACGCCCCCACGCCCCCCTTCCCCCACGCCCCCCGGCCCCTCTCCTCCTGCCCCTCTCCTCCTTTTACGTCTTCCTCCTCCTCCTCCTACCCGATCTCATCAACTCCTTCTGAAGTTTGTATCGCATCATTTTTCATTGTTTTACTCTGATTAACTTGTTTATTTTGTTCCTACTGAGGCCGAGAAAAATGGGGTGTTTTTGTTCTTCATCTCGTTTGTTTATTTTTCCTTTTTTTGGCCGAGAACAGGTGACATATTATCAGGTAAGTGCAATTATAGACGTGTGTGTGTGTGTGTGTGTGTCAAGCAACGCCTGAGTAAACATTAATATGAGTGTGGTGAGTTCTTCCTGTATTTACCCAGAGCCAAGTGTGTGGGTTTATTAACATGTGGAATAATGTTAGTGTCTGGTGCCTGACGTCCGTGTGAAGTCCGGCCTTCCTCACTACCTCTGTACACCTGTTGTGAGGCCAGGTGAGGAGTCTAGCCTTCCTCACTACCTCTATACACCTGTTGTGAGGCCAGGTGAGGAGTCTAGCCTTCCTCACTACCCCTGTACACCTGTTATGAGGCCAGGTGAGGAGTCTAGCCTTCCTCACTACCTCTGTACACCTGTTGTGAGGCCAGGTGAGGAGTCTAGCCTTCCTCACTACCTCTACACCTGTTGTGAGGCCAGGTGAGGAGTCCAGCCTTCCTCACTACCTCTGTACACCTGTTGTGAGACCAGGTGAGGAGTCTAGCCTTCCTTACTACCTCTATACACCTGTTATGAGGCCAGGTGAGGAGTCCAGCCTTGCCTCACCACTTATCCTCTGTATAAATGTTGGCGTGATAACCAGTGTGCTTTTGCTGGTCGATCTTGGTTGTGTTGTGCAGGGCGACTTTGGATAACCTCAAGGTGAGCCACCCTAGGTTATGTCCCTTTAACGCTAACCTAACCTAGCCTAGCCTAACCTAACCTAATATAACCAGAATAAGTGACTTCGGGGTTCCTTTAAGTAGCTACACCTCACGCCTTCCCCCTTCTACCCCTCGTCACCCTCACCCCCTCCCCCTCACTCACCCCCCACTCCCTCACTCACCCCTCACCCTTGCCAGTTGTACACAGTGAGGCAAGAGACCACCATCTTATTGAACGGTGGAACTAGACCAGAAATCCGTATAAACCAGTCGTGTGTGTGTGTGTGTGTGTGTGTGTGTGCCCTCTTAAACCTTCCACTATTGTTCCCACGGGTTGATTGTGTCCACCCATCTGCTAACTAACATACACGTCAATATTTACTTTTTTAACTTAATCTAGATATTGGTTTAGGAAATGGTGGTGTGTGTGTTTGGTGGAGAGAGAGAGAGAGAGAGAGAGAGAGAGAGAGAGAGAGAGAGAGAGAGAGAGAGAGAGAGTAAACAAAATGAAGATGACGACCACTTCAACCTCTGACCCCATTCATTAAAAAATCCCCCCCGCCCCACCTCCACCCTCGTCCTTTGCTGGTCTTAGTAATTATTATTTACCTGGATATAATTTGTTCCCCCTGGTCACTGTTATAATTTGTGCCTCCTGATCACTGTTATAATTTGTTCCCCCTGATCACTGTTATAATTTGTTCCCCCTGGTCACTGTTATAATTTGTTCCCCCTGATCACTGTTATAATTTGTTCCCCCTGGTCACTGTTATAATTTGTTCCCCCCGGTCACTGTTATAATTTGTTCCCCTGGTCACTGTTAACGGCTCCCCTGATCCTGCTATAATTTGTTCATCACTGTTATAATTTGTTCCCTGGTCACTGTTATAATTTGTCTCCCTGTCACTGTTATAATTCTGTTCCCTGGTCACTGTTATAATTTGTCTCTGGTCACTGTTATAATTTGTTGTCTTCTGTCACTGTTATAATTTGTTCTGGTCACTGTTATAATTTGTGCCTCCTGATCAGTTATAATTTGTGCCTCCTGATCAGTTATAATTTGTTCCCCCTGATCACTGTTATAATTTGTTCCCCCTGGTCACTGTTATAATTTGTTCCCCCTGATCACTGTTATAATTTGTGCCTCCTGATCACTGTAATAATTTGTTCCTCCTGATCACTGTTATAATTTGTTCCCCCTGTTCACTGTTATAATTTGTTCTCTCTGCTGGTTTAGTTACTGCCTAACACACTGAAGCAAAAACAATAACCCCTTCCCTTCCCTTCCCCTTATACGGCTTGGCTTTTGTTGTTGGCTCTGGCAATGTTTATATAATGAGTATACAGTAAGTCCAGGGCGGGCGAGAAATAGAATGACGCATTTTAAACTTGAGGGAAATTCTACCAACATTATCAGACGTCGTAGACTATAATACAACATACATAATACACCACATGCATTATACATCATACACCACATACATTATACATATTACACCACATACATTATACATGTAAGAAATATATCTAGTGGGGGTACACACATTGTTGATACCGAGACTGTACCTACATGTCTTGTGTCAGGTATTCCTCGCTCACCGGTATATTAGAGCCCAAAAAATAACGTATAGATGTGTATAAGAGACTCAAGGTGGAGATAACAAAGCCAAGTTATGAAAGATTAATGCTTGAAATTAACCCCCGAAAACAAGACATTTGACGTGTTTCAGTCCAGGTGTGTTGAGCAGAGGGTGACGCTGCTTACATTGTTCCGTCATATTTTCCATTGTTTGGGGTTTTTGTCTGGTTCTTATAGATATACTTATGTTCTTAATACGAGTAAGATCAAGATTCGGTCTAGTTTTTTGTTGGTTGTGTGTACAGTGAGGTGGCAAGACAGGTAGTAAACAGATTGGATTATATCTGACATTATTCTCTGGAACTTTTTTATTTTATTTTATTTTTTTATTCCTGTCTAAGAATAAACAACGAAACTCTTATAGAATTAGCGTGATATTGACCTATACTTGACCCGTCCAGTATATGCCAGGCAAGAGGTGGTTCCCTAACTGGTCCTGGTCAGCGTTAGTTGATTGAGAAAAGGTAAAAGGAATCATTGAAGAAAAGAGAAGGGATTTAAATCTTAATTAGTATATAACAGGTGTGTACGAATTAAGTTAGGGTCATTTTGATGCTATTTTTGGATGTTATCTTTGTACTTTTAACTTACAATATCCGGTTATGTATTTTTTTTAGGTCTTTGGTTGAGAGAGATAATCATCGTTTTATTTTTTTTATTTTATTCATTTTTTTAAGAATCCGCCACACGTGTTGAGGCGGCCATCTTGAATCGAGTACGCAATGCTCCCCCGTGTGTGTGTGTGTGTGTGTTCGACGTGACTCAGCAGTAAACACAACTCATGGTCACCACGATACAGACGGGTAACTGTTTCCTGTGTGTCGTTGTGTTTGTTTGTTCTTCGGGGTCGTTGGCACTGTGTGGTGGTTCCAGGGTACAGTAGTGTTGACGACAGGTGACCAACAAAAATGGTGATGTTGTGACAAGTGGCCCTTCTATAAATGGTGTCTTGTTTAATCTGGCACAGCTCAGCTCCGCCCCGCCCCGCCCTTTCTACACTCTGTCAAAAGCGAGATACAGTTACGGTAACAGTACGATGCCCTGTTTGACCACGTGTAATTAAGTTAGGATGGGTCATGTCAGAACAAGTTAAGTTTATGACTGGCGACAAATTCAGAGATGATATTTGGATCAATAAACGTTTCACTATTAATCGTAATAATATTCTTATTATTGTTATTATTTATTTGATTTATACACAATAAGTCAGAGAAGTGCAGGGAGGATGGAGCCCGGGAGAGAGTAGATTTGAGGTACGGCAGCGGTGTTTAAGTTTGTGAGGACGAGGTAGTGAGTGTTGGCTGGTCCGAGTCTCACCCTGCATCTTCCCTCTACCTCCCCTCATCCCCCACTCAACATCTCTCTTCCTTAGGCATCCACCACTATTCATCCACTTCTACTTCTCTCATTTTGCCCTGTATCATCATCCACCTTGGTTGTCTGTCTCCCCCTATCATCCAGCATATCTTCTCCTGTCTTCATCACCCCCCCATCCTCCACCCCAGGATCTTAACCCCCCGTCATCATCCACCTGTTAATGAATATGATGTATTTATTTGTGTATGAACCTCTGTCCTGCGTGGCAGTGAGAAGTGATCCCCCCCCCCTCAGTGTCAAGACCTGACTGAATTACTAAGAATAGGCAAACTTTGTCAATAAATTTGTTAAACTAACTAAAAGCGACACGACCCGGAATAATAAAGACAATAAAATAGGTTCTCATAGTTGGTGATACATGAAGGAGTAGTGGACTATTAAACTCAATGTACCTGGTAGGAGCCGCACAGGTGATACACACACACACACACACACACACACACACACACACACACACACATTAGTTATGGTAGTTTTAGTAGTGAAGGTTATTGCCAGGTTACCTTGTGGTGAGCGGGTAGTTGAGGCTTATTAGATGTTGGTTTGGCGATACAAACCACCTTCCTGTGAGGGAGTAGCGTGAGGTTCTTGGTAAGGATGCCGGTAATTACGCGAGGCTGGCGGCTGTGGAGGGTGTGGCATGCACCAAGGGCAGGTAAAATGTCCGGCATGAGGATGTGACAAAAGATGTGGCCCCTCACGAAGGTTCACCCCGCCAGCCACACTACACTTCCTCTCTCCCACCTTTACTACCCTGGCCTCCACAACAACAACAGTGGCCTTCCAATATAGTCTGTCGTAGACGTTTATTGTTGTCGTAAATATGTTGTCACTTATTGAAATACAATTGAGAGTTATCTGTTTGTCTCAGAGACCTAGGTTACGACACATCAAGAAGGTATTGTAATCACTACCTTAAAGAAAAGTAAATTATTGATGTATAGAAAAAGAACACACAAAGGGATTGCGGAAGAGGTTGAATTCTCTTTGTTGAACATAACAATGTGTAGCCCGCCTTACCCTGACATAAACAAGTACCTTTATAAGAAACACATCATTGTACTCACCATGAGATCATCCTTACGGGTGTACATTGGGTTGTCTACCATTGTTTGTCGGGGCGTCAACACTGGAGGAGACGTGCTTAGTAGGCACCACGCTCCAAAGTTGTCTTCTGAATGATGGGGCTAAGGCAAGTACACACTCAGGGTGGCCACTCAGACTGGCTCCTGCTGCTGCACTTGCTGGCTCGGGGGGCGACGTATGATGGAGGCGGCGAAAACTAAGTGGTGTGAGGGCAGCCACGGCCGCTGTCCTGGCGTGTGTCGGTCCTCGCCCTCATGATGCTGCTGTAGGGAGACTTACTCAACACTGTCACACTCCCGCCTCGCCACCAACACCTGTGACGACGTGACGGACGAGTCCTCAACTGTTGATGGTGGCTGTGTAGTGCCTCAGTCTCCTCACGATCTGTGGGGGTGACACAACATACACTGTTAAACTTCACAACACATTCTTGTTTACACCGTCGTATATTACAACATTTAATTATTAGAACAGAAGATTAGTTTTGAATATAGTTAATACTTATATAATATTATCCTTCATGTACCACAATGTCTTATCAGTATGTGTTTAGTGTGGTCTTTCACCCAGTACATTTGTTGGATTAAGATCTCAATAAAACCAGATCTGTGTACAACTGCCAAGACTCATCCTTTGAAATACCCAGTTTCCACATATCTTCGTTAAACGTCGGTTGTATTAACTGATGCTCGCCCTCAAACGTGGATTTGTCTGTAACTTGTTGTTTAAGAAAGATATTTAGTACAATAGGCAGATTCATCACCCCACACACTCCCACCACTTCCACCTTTATCTACGTCACCTAATACGAATTTTTTCAATTGTTTTATCTAATAACACTTTCGGGATTATAACAATATGCTGTATTCTTCTTTTATAGATAATGTTCCCTTAACATCTTTGTTATTATATTTATTAATTTGTGACTTCTTTAACTATCGTGCTGTGATGAATACTTTCGACTGTGCACAAATGACTCATAGTTTTCGTAATTACTCATGGCTAAAAGTGTGTGTGTGTGTGTGTGTGTGTGTGCCCTTAATATCAGTGGTTGGTCCTGTATTGCCCTTTATCTCACCGTATGTGGTTTATTGCCCTTTACCTGACTTCCTTATTTACACCTTTACTAGAAACACAAGCTCAGTCGATTCCCTCTAGTCCACCCAGCAGTGACTTAAACATAGGAGGTATGACAGGTGAGCGTTACCATCACCTGAAGATTAGCCATCCCAGCTTATTTCCTCTGAATATTAGCCCACACACCCAACCCAACCCATCCCATCCCATCCCATCCCATCCCATCCCATCCCATCCCATCCCATCCCAACCCAACCTAACCCATCCCATCCCAACCCAACCCAACCCAACCCAACCCAACCCAACCTAACCTCACCTCGCCCAATGTCTCTCGGTAGCGTTAGGATGTTTAATTATCGTGTAAAATAACCCTGGGGTGGTGTTCTTCGTTAAGTAGATGCCGGTTCTTGCTCTACAAAATATCGAGGGAATTTAGTCATTAACCACACACACACACGGCAATAGAATATCAGCGCCGGGCATTAAGTATCAGCGCCGGGCATTAAGTATCAGCGCCGGGCATTAAATTACAGCGCCGGGCATTAAATATCAGCGCCGGGCATTAAGTATCAGCGCCGGGCATTAAATTACAGCGCCGGGTATTAAGGAGAAGCAGATTTGGAGCTTTTGTGTGCGTGTGGCAGGTACTTAGGGTCAGCGCAGGTCATTAAGAGACTACCTGTCCTGCCGCCAGTCATCAGGGGTCAGGTAAGATCATATGCATAGATTTAAGAACGATTAGTCCCGCGACAGTGACAGTGATATAGCGTTTGTTGGAGTCTCAGGATTATACCTAGTCTTTGGATTATACCTAGTCTTTGGATTATACCTAGTCTTTGGATTATACCTAGTCTTTGTACCTCGTCTTTGGATTATACCTAGTCTTTGGATTATACCTAGTCCTTGGATTATACCTAGTCTTTGGATTATACCTAGTCCTTGGATTATACCTAGTCTTTGGATTATACCTAGTCTTGGATTATACCTAGTCTTTGGATTATACCTAGTCCTTGGATTATACCTAGTCTTTGTACCTAGTCGTAGGATTATACCTAGTCTTTGGATTATACCTAGTCTTTGGATTATACCTAGTCTTTGTACCTCGTCTTTGGATTATACCTAGTCTTTGTACCTCGTCTTTGGATTATACTTAGCCTTTGGATTTTCAAATTTAACCCATAAGAGCTGCTCAGTCACTATACACTGTTGGCTCCTGTAATACCACAAACAGAGTATTAGGTTTTATATCTAGAAGTGTAAGTAATAAGAGTGCAGGGGTCTTATTGCAACTATATCTTGCGCTAGTCAGGCCGCACCTCGATTATGCGGTTCAGTTCTGGTGCCCCTATTATAGAATGGATATCAATTCACTAGAGACGGTGCAGCGAAGAATGACAAAAATGATTCCAGGACTTAGAAACCTTCCATATCAAGATAGGTTAAAGAAACTGAGCTTGCATTCCCTAGAAAGACGAAGAGTGCGGGAAGATATGACAGAAGTGTTTAAGTGGGTGAAAGGAATCAATAAAGGTGATATAGACAAAGTTCTTATAATATCCGAGCAGGATAGGACTCGTAGCACCGGATTTAAGTTGGATAAGTTTAGGTTTAGGAAGGAGTTATGAAGGAACTGGTTCACAAATAGGGTGGTGGACGAGTGGAACAAGCTTAGCAACTTTGTAGTAAGTGCTGGAATGCTGGAAAGTTTTAAAAGGAGGCTAGATAGATTCATGGATGATAGAGAGTGGTAGTAACTCTCGACAGGAGCTACCATGCACATTCCAACCGGCCTATTGCAGACTCCTTATTTTATTATGTTCTTCTTATGTTCTTTAACACCGGGATAGCTGTGAAACGCACTTCTCGTTAATCCAAAGTCGTGTCCAGCCCACCTGAGCCTCACTTCCGAACACCTGAATTTTTTGGGGGGGGGGGGTCGTCAGGTAAACAACTTAATAATTTTGTCGTTTATTGTTGTGCAGATAGTCTGATACGAACCATTGATTAGTGTTGTGTTTTATTAATTTATTATTTATTTGCTGTATTTAGAGGAAAGTTTAATTGGATTTTGGTTTGTGTGATGGTGGTGGTAGTGAATGGTTGCGGTGGTGGTGATGGTAGTAGTAATGGTGGATGGTTGTGGTAGTAGTGGATGGTTGTGGTGGTAGTAGTAGTGGTGGTGGATGGTTGATGGTTGTCGATAATGTATGGTATGCTTTATTATAAACAGTACAGATGTGATATAGCAAGCATGTGGATGAGATAGGTAGGTAAGGAGCACCTGTGGTCGCCGCTACAGGTAAGACGACACCTGTTACGTCTCTGTTGACAAAAGCATATCTGTTACGATACTTGTCCGATGGTGAACCAAATCCATGTAAGGTAAACTGGTGGTATAATTCACTTTAAAATATAATACAATAATAATAATAATGATGGTGATGATGATATATCCAGGTGTTAATGAGTTGTTGTTCATTACAGGTAAGGGTGAGAGATGGTCCCGTGGAGGCTGTGTGTTCGGGCAGGTGAGTGTTGCTTCTCTGATGTCATCGTTAATGGCCTCTCACGTGACGTCATCGTTAATGGTCTCGTTCTCACGTGACGTCATTATAAATTATCATGGCTATACTTATGGCGGGTTCAAGTGGCATTATTGTTTATGGTGTTATAGGGAAGTGACGTCATCGGTAATGTTGGGAGTGGTGACGTCATTTGCTATTGATGTGTTCACTTTGCTCGTTCTTTGTTTTGGCATGACGTCATTACGCAGACCTGACGTTCGGAAGTGTATAACAAATTTCATAGATGAAAAACAAATTAAAAAAATAAAATAAAATAAAATACAGGAATGGAAAAAAATACAGAAATAAGTTAATAATTTAGCGAAACAATTTAACGTAAGATATTTTTTTCATTCTTGTTATTCAGTCCTGTAACTTTATATATACTGTATATATATTCCCGTAATTTTTTTTAATTGTTTCTGTAGTTATTTTTATTTGTTTATTGTTGTAGTTGTGTGTTGCCATCTCACCATCACTCGAGTTCTTACACAACCTTGACTTCATAAACTGCTCAGCCCTTCACCTCTTGGCACCCGGAGATAATGTTGCGTGTATGTGTTGCAGGAAAACACTTGCCATATTGCAGGGTGTGGTGTATGTGTTGCAGGATAAACACTCGCCATATTGCAGGGTGTGGTGTATGTGTTGCAGGATAAACACTCGCCATATTGCAGGGTGTGGTGCATATGTTGGAGGATAAACACTCGCCATATTGCAGGGTGTGGTGTATGTGTTGCAGGAGAAAACACTCGCCATATTGCAGGGGTGTGGTGCATATGTTGGAGGGATAAACACTCGCCATATTGCAGGGGTGTGGTGTGTATGTGTTGCAGGAAAACCTTTCATATATTGGGGTGTGGTGTATGTGTTGCAGGAAAACCTTTCACCATATTGCAGGGGTGTGGTGTATGTGTTGCAGGATAAGCACTTTCGCCATATTGCAGGGGTGTGAATTGCATATGTTGGAGGATAAACACTCGCCATATTGCAGGGGTGTGGTGCATATGTTGGAGGACTTACTCGCCATATTGCAGGAGTGTGGTGCATATGTTGGAGGATAAACACTCGCCATATTGCAGGGTGTGGTGCATATGTTGTGGAGATAAACACTCGCCATATTGCAGGGTGTGGTGCATATGTTGGAGGATATGGCGCCGCCATATTGCGAAATTGTGGTGCATATGTTGGAGGATAAACACTCGCCATATTGCAGGGGTGTGGTGTATCGTAGTGGAATCAACAAACTTTCAGCAGCCGCGAACCTCCCTCGTCTCTAAAATCAGTCATGTATGGTAGCGTCAAGGACCTCCACTCCAGCCTTCGTCAGATCTTGAAAACTCGTCCTACCTTGTCTGCGCCCCCCCCACCCCGCCCACCACACACACACACACACACACACACACGCACCATGATCTTTGATACCCAATTTTGGACCAGAGAAGAAAGAAAAAAAGTGTGTAGGGGGGTTCTTGCCGTGATGATGGTGCAGATGAAGAACGAAGCCAGAGTATAGGGGGTGCAGTGTGGGAGGAGTCTCTGCCTTGGCGGTGCATTCTCAGCCAGAGGAGGTAGGCAAGGCTAGCAGGTGCAGGGTGGGATATATGCAGTGATGATCCGGCTCCCCGCTACACGCACACCTTGACCAACTCCTACCCTGGGGCCTTACTGTCTTTCCTCACCCTCCCCCCCCGAAAGGTAGATGGTGAGGGCGAGTGCAGTCAAGGTGTGAGTAGTGGCGAT